TCCCTTATATTCAGGTATACTGATGGAACTTCCACCTCGATGAACACTCGAGCGGATAGAGCATATGCCTGAAAAGTATGAGGTCGACGTTCGGGCTTAAGATCGTTTGATAGAACTGCGATTTGATCAGGGCTGAACCGTTTGATCACTTCATAGGTTCATTAGCTTGTTTGGTCTGATACTTACTCAAGTTTTCGTAGAAGATGTTTTCGAAACTCGTATATGTTTAGAATGTCAATTTTGACCGATTCACATTTTTGTTCAGCCGCAACAGCTCAAGGACCATAGGTTTTCAGTGTGGCCGCAATTAAACTCGATGAACACTTGAAAATTCCGAATAATTCCAATAAACCCATCCATATTCAACTGTGCCTGAGTGCATTGTTTCATCGCAAATACTTCAATTTCCCCTAGAATACCAATGAGGATAAGCTTCTGTAAGCGTGCTGAACTAGCTGCTCGAAAAGCTGCTTGATCTGACATTTTCTGTTCGATTGTAACGGTCAACCGAAAACTCGAAGTGATCTCATTTTTACAAGAAGATTATCCACACTGCAAATATTTTCTCATCAAGCAAGCGCAATCGAAATTTGTTGGCAGCTGCTAACTATTGTGAATGAATCAAAGAACGTACTCTTCTCATTCGATGTTTATAACGAACGAACAAATTCTTTTGCTTTAGCAATCGCATGCTCTCAACTGGTTAGTGGTTATTTATATCATGTAAACAGATTTTGCGAAATTTTGCGAAAACTTTGAACTTTCAATTTTTGCACTGCGATTGGGACGGTGAACAACATAAACTTCGTTTTTTGATGTCTGATGAATGTAAAAAACAGAATTTTTTCCCAACTATCACAAGTTATGTTCACCGACCAAAATCCATTTGTAACACCCACTGAATCGACAATGTCTTTCATCATAATCAACAACGGTTCATCGATCATTATCGGAACATTTCTTACTTATAGCATTCATTCAGCTCAACACGATTAGTTTCGTTGGCTGCTGCTGTGAAGATTAAGATTACAAGCGTAAATTCGCATTTTTACTAGGATTTTTTAAAACAAATTCATAGTTTTTACTAGTTACTTTTTTCCTAAGTTAAGAAATTTGTTGATTCAAATCTATTGGTGAGTACCACCTCGAAACAGCATCATTCTCGTCACTTCACTAATTTGTGGTCACGAACAACGCTGTGCTGACTCGGCTAATGTAGATGATGAAAAGAATAAACAAAATGTTTATCATTACATTGTGTCACAAACAATTACAGCGAGTGAGTATTCGTTGAACAATGCAAACATTGAGAAAGAAGATATCACACAGATTTAACAAGAATGATAGAAAAGTTCAAAAAACCTGAGTCATCGAAACATAAATGAATGAGAATTGAGCAAAAAGTTTTTCACCACAAATTCAATTACTTGTCGTCATATATTCAGAAAGAGGAAACGAAACAATATAAATCATTTCATATTTGAACACAACAACAACTATACATACATCTGTATACATTAAGAGTTGATAAATAACAAGAAAATTATTCACGGAATATGATGAAACAAGTCAAAGTACAATTTTTAAAAAACGTTTGAATGTATTCGAGAATTATGTTTATTTCACGCAGTCAATCGCGAGAAGACGCTGGAATGCGCTTTATCCACAAGAAATAGCAAGTTTTAAAATAGTTTTGAAATTTAGGCAATTGTTATCGTACAGGTCAGATGCATCATCCCTGAAGTATACTCAGAAAGACATTGATCTTTCAAGAAAATGATCAGTCATATTTTCGAGCCTGCGAAACTACATTTCGTCAGATTAATTTTCCGTACAAACCCGTAAAAATATGAAAGCTGAACGATCTGATCTCCTCAGTTCAGATGAACAATCCCGCATTATAATGGAAGGACAACAAAAATTGTGCTCAGAATTTGCACGAAGGATCTTTTTTGATTATTTCTTCGTATAGGACTTTTATAGGAATTTATTTCCAGAGAAGATGTTCGAAATAATTTAAATCCGTTGGCTCCTTGCAGTGAAGCTCGAAGAAGTTTTGCGCAATTTAGCCACATTACTCCTCAAACGGGCACTATCCACGGACTCCAGGAAATGTTTACAGTTGAAAGCGAGTTGATGCGCTGTTTTCAACACTTCACGACGAGCTTGTTCATTTTCATCCTGAATATTGCAACTTGAGTTTTGAAATTTGAAAAAATCAGAGCAAGCCTTATTTTTGAATATTATAAAATGCATATTAGCCATTTTATCGTTGTGCCATGGGATCTTGGTGAGAAATTCCCAGATCACTGTTGATAGAACTGCTGATCACCTTTTTTCTCGAAATCAGAAAATCACCTTTAACTTGTCCATCCAAAAATTAACAGATGCAAATTTTGAACAAGAAATGGAGCAGTTAAAATATTCGTAAGTGTAATCGAATTTCAAATTTTTTCAGATTACGGAATTTGCCTTACAATTAGAACTCAATTTCAGTGAAAAACAAACAAGCATTAAACACATATGTATAATGTTGATTGAGAAAAGGTAGTATAAATGACTGAAATGCAAACTTCAGAAGCAGTTTGATCCAGAGCAATGCGCATATTACTGGCCATATTGCGCATATCCGAACCAAGCAGGGTTTCGACCAATTGTACTTGACACTGATCGACAGGTTGCAGTGTCTTCAGGCACTTCGATGACTCTTCGAATAACGCCTTCAACTGATTTGTTATATTCTGAAAACAGCGAAAACAGTGTTATATTCTTTTATCCTTGGTAATTCCCTTTCTTCAAGTGCATCTTAATATTTGACTTTGTAATCACTCCAGCATTGTGTGATAATATTTCGTTTTTTTCACTTTGTCACTATTTCGAGTGAAATTTGGATGTCAAAATTTTGACTTTTAACGGTAAGCATTATTTGGTTAGTTTTTTGTGCGTTTTAAAATAGCGATTGGCAGATGGATTGCAGATTCACCTTCATAGTGCCAAGTGAAATTTCACGATGCCAAAGTGCAGTCGATTCGGTTTGGAAACTGCATTACAAAACTAGTCACGAATGGAACAGATAAGAAGTTAAACTTCTTACCTTAACGAGCGCAACGAATTCAGGTGTGCTCATCGAAGACGTGAACGCCTTCGAGAGACTCGACACCGCACCGACCACATCAAAAACGCACTGATGGACATTGTCCTCACTCCTGTCGAATTCGTATCCCTGCGGTAATACACCGTGATCGTCGAGAAGTGGACGACTTCCGGACAATGAGTTCAAATGATCGAACGTTCTTGACGTAGAGATATTGGGCAGAGGAAGCTGAAAGAATATCAGTTCATGCAAATTCAATCAAATACTCGAAAAATCCAACTGAAGGCGATAAATTTTTTGGAAGGATATGCGAATTCCTTGAAAAATTCACAAGATACTATTGAAAGACGGGACGGATGAAAGTCAAACTAAGCGAGTGTGAAATGAAACTACTTCAGATAATGTGAAAAAAAGTTGATTGTATGGAAATAATCAACGGATTCGGTGAAGCCATCATACAAATGGATCACTGGTCAGATTTGTTCAGTTAACGTTTTCAGTTAACTATGCGACTGTGAGTAAAACTTCAAGTCACGAAAGCGACTGATCAAGTGTTTCGATGATATAACAACGCACCAATTTCTCCTCCTCTTCTTCCAGCCATTTTTCGTCCTCTTCGCTCTGAATTCGTTGTTGTTCTAATGCCCTCCATAAAGTCGAAGTCGCCACTGCAGATGCGTCAACATTCAGAATCGGTGCCGACTGAAACTTATATTTTATCATACTGAATTAATAACTGAGTGTGAATATTGTTTGAGAATGTCTATGGATTCATCAAATGAATGTGATTTCTTCCATGCAACTGAACCACTTCAAGAAGTCTTTGGTCAGATTTAAAGTCAAAAAAGAAACATTCAACCTTGTTAGCGTTACCGTTGAGGATTGGCTCTTCCGTGGATGTCTCGACGGATGAATCCTAAAAATTTCGAGCAAAAGTCAACGTCTGGAATAATAGCATGCCACATTTGAATTCAGTGGACGGCCTTGAAAGTTGGGCCGCCCAAATTTCGAATTAGAATGATTTATAGAAGACAGTCGTGAATGATGGTTTAAAAATGCACTAATGAATAATGCAGATTAGTGCAAAATTATGATAAATATGAGAGTGCACCGTAAAATTTGAGTGAAGTAAATTAAGTGTTGACTTCAATTACATGATAAGCAAATAATGAGTTGGATGGGTACGAAACGTAACCAACCTCTTTAGAGGGTGCTCGAAGTTCGCTGAACGGAACACGACAGTCGATTTGATCGAGCAGGTAGTTGAGAAAGCGATTTGTCTCGGTGATATTCGGCCGTTCATCTGGATCAAATGCCCACATGCGCCTATATTAGCGATTGATTTTTCAAGAAACGGAACATTGCACAAACCATTTACAATTAATCGTATAAATCCCTTGCATACTAATTGGATTGCTAGCAAGTGAAAATTATTTCGAAAATCGCTTGTACTTATAAAATAAAAAAACAATTTTCACCTTAAAAAATCGTACAGAACTTTAGGACAATTCTCTGGTTTCGCCAAACGCTCGTCAGCTTCCAACTTCAGAATCACATCATGATTACGAACCGCTTGCCATGGTTTAACACCGAACATCAAAATCTCCCAAATACAAACGCCTGATGATTATTTTCAACATTCATTTGAGACGAACAAACGAAATCTTTTATCAAAAACAACAGAGTAATATTCATTAGAGATGCTTCTTCTCTTGTGTAAAGATTTCAGAGTGAAGAATCAATAGCAGCGAGGATTAACATGGTGAGTGAATATGTTTTCTCACCGAA